TAAGTTATAATAATAACATAATTGTGTTAAAAAGATTTTAGATATAATGGCCTATGGATTCAAAGCAACTTTAGCTAAACTATAAAATATTTAGTATGCATAGTGGATAATATAAATAGAAAGCTAACTAGGGAACTTTTAGCATGGCAAATGACCATTTAAAGTGTATTTTAAAAACTGGTGTGCTTCTTTGTTTAACTACTTAACAAGAAAAGAAAAAAACAGGTAAACGGAAGAAAGATATAAACACTAAAAAAAGCACTGAATAATTTTTATTGCAAGGAAAAAATGGCTCACAAACTAACAAAAATAAAAAATAAAATACAAAAATACAAAAATAAAAATGTTATTTGCAAAGGATAGAACAAGGATGAATTTTCTAAATAACACTGAATCCCAATTTACATACAATCTGTTAAGCATTACTAACATAAGTCACATAAATTTTCATAGTTTAAAGGAGGATTAGGTAATTACTCTACAGACTTCCAGAGAAGGTGATTTTTTAACATATTTAGTTACAACTCCCCTCCATTTGTTTTAATGCATCTACTCTAGTCACAGAGATACTACTCCACAGAAAGCTATTTTATACTACCCAGCTTCTTCATCACTGCACTAAGAAAGGAGCACTAAGGAGGGAGAAAACAGACCACTATTGTATCCTCTTATCCCTGGAGAGATGAAATGGTTTGCAGCTCATTTTAAATCACAAAGCAATTCTTTTGTGTACGAATTGGCCCCAGGCGAGGAGGTTGTGCAACTCACTTTCCACATGACCTCCACTTGTGGCTGCTTCCCAATCATGTCAGAACATGAAAACCTTGAAGGCACTCCATGTGGGGCAGTGCTCTCTCTGCCTCTGAAGTGATTCCTGGGCCAAGTTAGAAAAACCAAATTCTGAAGAACCACTGCAATGGAAAGCATACTCAGAAGGAGGGTAAAAAACCCAGAATTTTTCTGGTTAAGAAGGGAAATGTGGTTAACCTAAATTGGTCCTAGAGAGCAAATGGAGGCATCAAGAAGCACTTCTACTGCTTCAGTTCAACTATGCATTTTTGTTTCCGTTATAAAAAAAGAACAGCTCTTTAAATGGTTTGGCTATATTCAGAAATGTAACTGCTTACAAAAATTCTGAAGTGTTTGGGAAGGTGGCGGGGAAAGAGGGCAGATAACAAAGCATTGATAGAGTCTTCTGAGTAAAATTTACTAGATAATCAAAGTCAGCAACTGGTGCCCACTAACAGGTGGTTCATCGAAGACTTTGTTGCTACCTCTCTTCTCTTTCCCAGGAAGAAAGATTATAGCGGACTTGGAGTCAAAAAAACTTGGGTTCAGATCATGTCACTATCAAACATGCGTTAACCATTTCCAGACACTATGCTTTCCTGGCATTTGTAATCTCTGAATTTTAGGCTTTTTCCTCTATACCCTTTTCATAGGTGGTTATGTAGAAAGCATAAGCAAACTGTAAAGTGCTAAGCATTTATTATTGTTGTTGCTAGTAGGTCTGCCTGAAATAGAGAAAGTATTTAACAAATTTCACAAAGTTATTAATAAACTGTAGCAACTATAGTGGACAAATGGTAAGAGTAAATAAGTCAAGAACCTTAAAATCAACAGTAACACTTCACTTAAAACTTAACAGATATTTAACTACAAAACATTAATATCTTATATGGAACTATTAGGTTAGTGCAAGTGTAACTGCAGTTTTGGACCGTGAATTTTGAGTCATTATAACTAGGTTCAAACACATCTTTATTAATCAAAATAGGAACCATTATAATCAACACAATTTTGCCAACAAGAAATAAGTTTGTTCCTGTAGCACAAAAATCTGTGCTTTGGGATTCGATGAACTCTTGGAAAGCAATTTCTGCTTTCTGGTTGTGGAAGCGTTTTCCCTGCAAAAAGTTGTCGAGAACATGAAGAAGTGGTAGTTGGTTGGCGAGAGGGCAGGTGAATGTGGCGGATGAGGCAAAACTTTGTGGCCCGATTTGTTCAACTTTTGAAGTGTTGGATATGTGATATGCGGTCAGGTGCTGTTGTGAAGAACTGGGCCCATTCTGTTGACCAATGCCAGTCACAGGCATTGCAGTTTTTCGTGCACCCCATCGATTTGCTGAGCATACTTCTCAGATGTAATGGTGTCTGCAAGATTCAGAAAGCTGTAGTGGATCAGACAGGCAGCAGACCATCAAATAGTGACCATGAACTTTTTTTTGGTGCAAGTCTGGCTTTGGGAGGTGCTTTGGAGCTTCTTCTCGGTCCAACCACTGAGCTGGTCGTCGCTGGTTATCATAAAATCCACTTTTCTTTGCATGTCACAATCCGATCAAGAAATGGTTCGTTGTTGTTGTGTAAAATAAGAAAAGATGACACTTCAAAAGAACAATTTTTTTGATTTGCAGTCAGTTCATGAGCCACCCACTTAGGGAGCTTTTTCACCTTTCCAATTTGCTTCAAATGCCGAATGACCATAGAATGGCTGACACAGAGTTCTTTGGCAACTTCTCGTGTAGTTGTAAGGGAATCAGCTTCAGTGACCGCTCTCGGTGGTTGTCAACTTCTGAAGGCTGGCCACTGCGCTCCTCATCTTCAAAGCTCGTGTCCCCTTTGCAAAGCTTCTTGAACCTCCAATGCACTGTATGTTCATTAGCAGTTCCTGGACCAAATGCGCTGTTGATGCTGCAAATTATCTCTGCTGCTTTACAACCAAGCCATTTGGAATTCAAATAAGAAAATTGCTAGAATTTGCTTTTTGTCTAACATCATTTCCACAGTCTAAAATAAATATAAAATAAGCAGCAAGTAATAAGTCATTAGCAAAAACATATAAAGCAAGAAATGCGCATTAAAATGATGTATTAGAAGAGTGAGTGAGTGAAAGTTGCTCAGTCGTGTCTGACTCTTTGTGACCCCATGGCCTATACAGCTCATGGAATTCTCCAGGCCAGAATACTGGAGTGGGTAGCCGTTCCCTACTCCAGGGGTTTTTCCCAACCCAGGAATTGAACCCAGGTCTCCTGCATTGCAGGCAGATTTTTTAGGGAAGCCCAATATATAACATAATCACATTTATTTAAGAACGTATTCAATAACAGCAAATTTCGACAATGCTAAAACCACAATTAGTTTTGCACCAACCTAATAAACACCTTAGAAATATCCCAGGGGAAAAATTCTTCAACTGCCAGAAGCATGCATGCGCACTCAGTCACGTCTGACTCTTTGTGACCCCATGGACTGCAGCCCACCAGGCTCCTCTGTCTATGGAATTTTCCAGGCAAGAATACTGGAGTGGGTTGCCATCTCCTTCTCCAAAACTGCCAGAAGAGGTCACTGCAATCATCATATGTGGTGGGATCTCAGGTATGGCAGAGCATGCTTGCAGATCAGGCTTCATCAAGGTACAGGATGAGGTTAAGAGCTGAGCTCTTAAGTTCAAATCACAGCTAGCAAGTTGTATGACTATGGGCACATTACTTAATCTTTTCTAAGCCTCAGTTTTCACTGATATAAAATGGGCAGAGCAGTAGTCTCTGCTAGCAGGATTACTGTGAAGACTTCAAGGAAGACACTCATGAATTACTTACCATAGTGTTATGTGCTTGTTGTTGTTTAGTCCCTAAGTTGTGCCGAACATTGTTCGACCCAGTGGACTGAAGCCTGCCAGGGTCCTCTGTCCATGGGATTTTCCAAGCAAGATTGCTAGAGTGGGTTGCTATTTCCTTTTCCAGGGGATCTTCCTGACCCAGGGCTCAAACCCAGGTCTCCTGCATTGGCGGGAGCCACCAGGGACACCCATTATGTGCTTACCTACCATCATCTTCATCATACTTTATATGAGGTGTCTTTTTATGAGTGGAACTACACCAGGTCCTCCACTTTACAAACTGCTATTTACCCTCAGCCGTGGAACAGAACTATGGTATGTTTTTGAAAAACACAGCAAATGGGGTCTACGGTGGTCATATATCCCATCCCCACATAGCACTATGCTACTTAGGTCAAGTTAAGATATGCCTGCCAGGAACTGTGTTCCCTGAACCAAATGTCAGCAGATGTTCAAGGTACAATTCTTCATATTTCACTAACCACTCTCTGAGCCATCCAGAATCCCTGGGTTATACTATTAAATTTAAATTTTCATATCCAGGTTGCTCATGCCCTATGTTTCACTTCCAGTAAAATTTATCTTTCTTTTTTTCAAATGGAAATGTCAAAAAGCTTAAGATGTGCATACATGCATATTTTTTCTAATTTGCAGTGAGTGGAATCTTGCTAATGCAGAAAGCTAAAGAAGTTAGAATAATGAAACACTAATAAAGGAGTCCCTTATAATAGCATATAACATATTAAATGATGGTGGTGGTCAATGAAGCAATTGCTTCACATTCAATATCCTGCTGAAATGAAATAACTGCATTTTAAGGAAATAAAACATAACCCTTTTTGAGATGTCCTGCTAAATGAGTCAAAAAACCTTAATTCTAGATCTATAAAATTAATCAAAATAATCCAACTGTGCAATCACTCTACATCTTATCATAGAGAATCTAATAGCGCAGTAAATTCTAGATCTTGGATGTAAAAGACATTCCTCCCTTATGCCCCCAACAGTCACCTTCCTGGGATCATATCCACACTTTTGGGACATGAAAAGCCTCTTCTTCTGAGGAAAGGCTGGGTCCAGCCACCTCACCATGAGCCATGAGCTGCTTCTCCAGCCTGTCTGCCTTATTGACAGTGCTACCTGCCAGCCAGAAGCATCCTGGTGTCTACTGGGCTGCTGCAGACGGAGCAGACTGTGAATCCAGCCAGAGGATAAGAGGTTGTTTTAATTGGCTAAATCTGCTATGTACTAAGCGTATGGCCATGAATTTGTAGCCAAAACACTAATCTAAACACAAAACAAGAATGACATTTTCGCTCAATTCTAGTTCTGCCATGTGGGTTTTTAATCTAACATTTTATAATGAGTACCAAATCCTTACCTTTGCTAAAGTAGAATTTTCATAGTATACTCCTTGTACCAAATCCATAAGAGCACTTGCTATAAGTTCCACAACCTAAAAAACAAGAAAAAAAAAATCAGAAGAATTTAAAAAATGTATCCCCATTTTTACCTCAGACTGCCTCAGGAGGCTCAGTTGCAAGGGAGTATTGTGTTTGATAGAAAAAAAAAGGGGGGGGGCGGTTATGCACAAAAATCCTGGCAAATGGCATTGTCCACCTGGATATTAGAGCTGTGATCCAATTTTTCCAGTCATAATTTAAACAAAAAAAAATCTTACAAGCATAGCATTTAACGAATATATGTGAAAATCCAGTAATAGCCATATTGAACATAAGTTTAAATTTCAGATAATGAATAAAATCTTAACCCAATTTATTTTCTGAATGTTTGTTTCTGTCAGGTGGATACTTTTTCAATATCCCCATTCTGGGAGCCATCACAATGCCAATTTTCATACTTAACACAGAAAGAAAAGCAAAAGCAAAAGAACAGTTAACCTTTCTAATGTGTTCATTCTGTTGCACTAAAAATGTACTGTGGATATATTTGGTATAGGGCCCTTGGGTCAAATGTACTACAACACTGAAAATGTTAATAGAACTGTAATAGTAAAATTGTATTCATCTAACCTGTATTATTTTCAAGGCTTAGACTATTAAAAAAATCAAACAAAATCAAAAGCTTTGAACTTGTTCCAGAATGTAAAACAAGCAGAAAACAGTAAATGGTCTCCTTGGAACTACAGTACAATTTACAGTTGTTTGCATAAACCATCATAGTTCAAGAGGATAAAATAGTGGTATTTATTATAACGTTCAATGCAGCCATTTCAAACAACAATTCTCAAGGCAACCCTATCTGTTTCTTACCAAGTCTTATTATCTTGTATTTTTAGCTCTCTATGTTATGCAGTCTTATATCAAATTCCCACTCTTGGCTTCCTAAAATTTAGCTCAGTTCTGATTGAATTAAAGGATTTTGTTTCAGCTTTTATCATTCTTGTAATTGAAGACATTATTAAGCCAAAGGATACAGACTCAAACAACAAGATACTTCAACCTCAGGTACCTTGGATTTAATAAACATTTTCTTAGAGGTAAATGACACAAATTTATAGAAAGATATGCTTTAAAATTTTAACACATAAGCATTTATCTCCAAATTTATATTTACATTCATCCTGCTTAACACACACAAGGCTGCTGATACGGAAATTTTGCTGATTAAAGGGATATTTTTTTCTAGCTCTGCAGATGGGTTAATTTGTAAGACCTATACAAAGTCTGTTTTTTTTTAATTGCATTGCCCTTAGGTAACCAAATACTTAAGAAATATTGTAGCAATATAAGCTGCAGAGGAACTACAAGGACAATGATCCTACAGTGTTACCAGATGTGTTGAGTTATTTAAGTGGGGAAAAGAGTAAAATGAATGGATTTTTTTCCCCCCCGAAGGTATCAGATAAGCTCTGCTCTCAAATCCAGGAGGATAGAGTATCGCCAATAGGTCTATGAAAGACTGTAACTAAATGCACAGCATCAGATTGGATTACAGTTTACACAAGCAACATCCCAAGGTCCCTCTGATGGCTGGACATATAATACAGATCAATCAGTCACTAAGAAATGTTATGGTTTTGAAACAGTTTGAGGTCTGAGATCAGCACTGGTAAAGTGAAGAGGGATTTACAAAAAGAAACTCCAACACTAATTTTAACAGTGGACCTGGTTTTGGGTAACCAGTTATGCTCCCTTACTTTCTGAAATTCCAGACCAGTTAGAAGAAACAAAAACAATTTATTTTCTGATTCTTTTTCTGTTAATGCAATTAGCAAATACACCTGTATTTACAAATTTATAATTTATAAGTGACCTGTACTTCCAAATGACCTTCCTTGCTTAAGCAGAATATAATATCTCCATTGCCAACAACAGCCATCAAAGAAAAAACTTTGGACTTGCTTGGGTTAACAAGTCCAGGAAGGTAGGAGAGTATACAAAGCAGGAAAGCCTAAGGGAGCTGCTTGTGTCCCAGCAAAAATGACTTATCCAGCACACACTTAAGTATCTTTCCACGGCTTGAAATGTTTACTTTTAAAATTACACCCAAAAGAGATGTGTACCATTCTCCTTTAGAATCACAAATATTTCTAGGAAGATGATAGGGCTATCAGCCCATATATATGTTAATTAGAACATTTAATGATCCGATCTTTTTTGTTCATTACATGGCTTACTACTATAGGCATTCACCTGTTTAGATATTTACTGTACTTAAATATAAGAAGGCACCTGCTGGGCTTCTCTGATGGCTCAGTGGTAAAGAATCCACCTGCCAATACAGGAGACATGGGTTCAATCCCCGATCTGGGAAGATCCCAAATGCCATGCAGCAACTAAGCCCATGTGCCACAACTACTGAGCCTGGGCTCTAACCCAGGAGCCACAGCTACTGAAGCCCATGCTCTGCAACAAGAGAAGCCACTGACCATGTGGCAGCAAAGACACAGCACAGCCATAAGCAAATAATTTTTTTAAAAGGCACTTGCTTAATGAGCTCTCCCCTCCACCCCCGACTCCTGCCTCAGATTCTTGAGGAATGATTTTTTAGGCAACCTATCTAAAATTTACAGTAGCAAGGGTAATGATGGCCAGAGAAGAACCTACAGCCTAACTGCCACACTTCGGTGCTTTAGATAGAAGTGACCCTGAGAAGGATTCAAGGACTTCTGTTCCAAGCCCTGGGGCAGGCGGGTGTGGGGGGGCAAGCAAATACTTTCTGTTAGAAAATGATAGGCTAAAAAGAGCCCTGAAGTTAGCCACCCTCAGAAGCCCAACAGATTAGAGAGCTGTAATGAAATAAAGCAAAACACGACAAGGGAGAAGATCTAAATTTTACTCCAAGGCATTAACTACCAATTACATTGTGAGATTTGGGACAAATCAATTATTTCTCTGAATCTTGGTTTTCCTGAACTATTAACTTGAACTATTCCTTGAAGTTTTTTCCAGTTTTAAAATCCTGAGTTTAGAAATGCAAATCTTAGTATTTATAATGAAGAAATTAATTTGAAAACTGCTTTTTTGTAAACTGACGAGACATCTTTGCTCATATTATTTTTAATCTGTTCTGTTTACATGGACCTTTCCCTCAAACTAAACTTTAATGATCACTTTCTTTGTGAAACTTTGTACCCAATCCCTCTTGATTATAATATCTGAAATTATAATGAAACTATTTCTATTTTTTAAATCGCTTTAAGTCATTTCCACTTTTTATACTATAATGACTGGCAGCCCACTCCACCAACTGGCAAAGAAGTCCTAGGTGGGTCAATTAAAGGTCACATTGCTAAATTCTGGGTCTTGAAGGGCTCTAATACTTGGAAATAACTCATATATATTGAATTCAGAACAATAACAGGTTTAAGTGCAAAGTTTCAAAAAAAAAAAACAATAATGGCATAATTGACCATATTGCTTCCTTCCTTCTCTAATGAGTAAGTATGTAGAGCACTTTGAAGAGAATCTGGAACATAGTCTCAGGGAGTGTACAATGTAAGTCTTAGACAGATGAAAGGCACAGCATGGAAACCAAGATTAAAATGTGTCCAGATATTTGGGAAGAAAGTGGGTTTTAATTCAACAACTGAACACACGAAAAGACTATTTTAACCAAAATCAGAGGTCTCTGTAACATTGACTTACAGTTTTTCGAATCATTATTTCAGATTATATGACTGTCATTATCAATATTATAAAGTTTACTTTATAATAAACTTTAGAGAGTTTATTACTGCCTACAGAGTAATCAAATAGGAAACATGTTTCTTCATTTCTACATTTCTAGAGGTTGTGAGAATAGCAGAATAGCTTACCTATACAGGCAGATGCAAAAATGCTTTTTGCACAAAAATGATCTGTGTCATGTGTTTAAGTCTGACTCTATAGCAATGTCATATACTATCTCCCAATCTTCTAAGTAACACCTTAGATTTCAGTGAGCCAGAAGTCGTAACCACTCACAATGTCAGTGTTATGAGCTGGTTTCTCCTGCCACCTTGCATTTGGCTACCAGGGAGAAAGCTGCATAGGAAATGAAGTGGACATCAAATTGCTGTTCTCAGGCAAAATGTTGGTCTCTTCCCATTTTAATCACTATTCTCTCACCGAAGATTAAAGATTAGGTATTTTTTAGATGCAGCTGAACCTTAGCACAATTACAGATCCGATATAACTGATCTTTGGAATGGTTTTGTTAAATGGTTAATTCACAGGACAAATTTTACCAGTTGCAGAGGAATATGTAATTGCTTCATTCTTTATCTTTTAGTGAGGGTAACCATAATTCAACAATTTTTTTCAACTGAAAAACTAAAGTGTTGTGATTATTATGCCCTGAGCTGTAATAAAATTGTCATCTTAAAAATTAGAAATTGAGAGAAGTAGGAGGTGGTAATGACCAAAAAACATCCTTACTCACTGCTATACAAAGATGTCAGTAACATATTCTTAAGGAAAAGAAAAAGAAAAGCTGGTTACAAAACAGAATAACATGACAGGTATTCTTTTTAAAAAAAAATCAGCTCAGTCAATGTTTATGTATGCTGAGAAAAGTCTGATACAACAAAATATTAATAATAATACAATCTGTAAGTGGTAAGATTCTAGATGTTTTTAATTAAAAGTTTTTCAACTTTTCCAGTTTGCTTAAATTTATAATCACTTACTATATAGTGAATTACATATTCTCCCCCCTCATATATTTGCTTTTATAATCAGATACAATAGACAACCTACTTCTAGGGCAGAGGGACAGGAGGTGGCATATCCTGTTTTAGCCTCAGAAAGGTTTCAAGCTAAGCTGTGTCCACACACTGATTTATGGAATATAGCAACTGAAAGTCCCTGTATTAACAAAAATAAGATCAGTAACTGGTGATAAGTATTCTGTGCAGACAACTTGTGCCCTTCTCAATAAATGTGATTCAGGAGTACTGTCAGTTAGCATTTGACAGATGGAACAGGCTCAACAGAGTTGTAGATGTTTCAC